CATTCTTGGTTTCTTCCTTTTGAAGAATTTTCCAGAACAAGATGAAAGTTAAGAAAGATTTTGAACTTCTCATTTGCGTACCTTAAGCTACACTTGCTTATGTTTGCAATATTTTCTTTTGAGTCTTTCCAGCCCCCAAAGGATTTCTGTTATTTTTATGTGAATTCCATCCAATTTGCAGAGATCATTTTAGTAATATGCCTGGGACTCATTGGTGAATTCCAGGTGTAGTTACAAAGAGCACAGATGAAGAATTTATGATTTATTGTCTAGGTAGAGCCTTTTACGATGTTTCAGGTACCCATATGACCTCTGTGTGTAAGACAGAATGAATTGCCAGATGACGTTAACATTTGGTACGCTAAGAGGCTCGAGTGGCTTAGCTGATTGTTCACAGAGAAAACGTTCTGCAATCTGCCCTAAAGCTACATGGGAGAAACCGTTACCTTCCTGCTCTAGGATACAGTACTTCCAAGTACGCAAGTCAAATCTAAATTAGTCTTTTTGTTGGTATTCTGTTACAGATTCATTTGCAGTTTCTGCTTACTTGTTATCCTTAGATTCTCTACAAATATTATGCCATAAGGTTATTTCCATCCCATTGAATATGTTCCAGAATATTTCCCTCAGTATTTTCCACAGCAATAACTTGCTTTTTTCTCCTGTACTTATCTTCATCTTGCTGTTTTCTGACTGAATTGTAGCCCTTATAATTACTTTGATATACCTCCATATCCTTGCAATTGTCCACATCATGGCCTCTCAAAGATTAATGAAGATGTCAAAGAAAACAGCACCTCATAACAGTTCCTTTGCCACTACACACACACAGATACATTGTTGCATGTCCTTTTTCACATAAGTCTTTTATTTGCTATCAGTTTTCAGATTCATCTTGAGCCCTACAGTATTCCCTGTTTTCCTTAAGCTTCAGAGTTTTTACACAGTCCTTATTTGTCTAATCATCTCTCACTCAGCATAATCCATCCAGTACATTCTGAGTGACTTGGGAGTTTCACAAGAGTAACAGATGCTTTCCTGAAATTGGAATACCTAACACCTAAAGACTTCCTTCACACCTTCTATTTTGTTATGGCTATTGGTAAGAGTGCTGTTTTTCTTGTAAACTAGACACTGCCTAGGAGTCTGCTGGTCTTTATGGCTAAGATTTTTCAGACATGCTTATCCTAAGGTTAAGTCTAGCATAGCTTGAAGTTCTAAAGGTAGTGTTCTAATATATGTTCACAACTAAATGATTTTCATGACTACTGAAGCCTAGTTTAAACAGTATTCACTTAATACTTCTTAGTGCTGTTCTTTTTCTCAGTACTGATAGGTTTTTTCAGGGGTTTTCTTCCTCTAGTGCAGATCTTAATGGGCATAAATAATCAGGAGTGGGATAAATGAATGGTGTAGATACATTTAAATGCATCCTCTTAAGATGCAGAAAGCTACAGAATGCCATAGAACTATTTGCTAGAGATTTAATATTTAGCCAGCAATTATTAGTATTTTATTTTGATGTGACATTCATCAGTTAACACAGTTGCACTTCCTAACTCTTTCTAAAAAAATCAAAGCTCATTTCCATTTGAAGATGCAAACACTAGCTGCTAATTAATAATACTGTAAGTATTTTTAGACACTGGTAGGCAGGTGGCACATCTGGGAAAAAGGCAATGCAAACAGAGTGGTGTAAAGGTGTAACAGAATGAAAAGCATAGCAACAACAGCAAAGTAGCGTGGTCCTAGGCTGCAGCAAGGGAGTTTGCTCAACTGCAACAGCCATGGGCACAGAAATAGAGGAAAGAAGCTGCTTACCTTCAGAAGATATCAGGGACGCAGAGCTCTCCAGCAAGCTGCCCTCATCTTCACTGCCAACCCTTAAATGAGGTCTGGGAAGGGGTGGATCCTGGCTCCACCCCTTCCAGTCACTCAGGTGCACTGCATACACCTGAGCTCCCCTGGGTTGGCCCTGCCTTCCACCGGGTGCCACTGTTTCATGGCTTAGCGTTTCTGCTACAAAAGGTGATCCCAGAAAGATATTACTAGAGCTGAAGTTCATGCAGAATATGGTCTTCCTAAATATGTATTCCCTATATAAATACTACTGTGTGTGCTTGATGTATAAAAATATAATTATTAATGTGGACCACCAATTACAGTAATGTCTAATAAAGGCTGACACTATAAGTACAAGCCTAATCAGCACACAGATCTACCTCAACAATTTTGGAGACTTGCAAATAAAATATATTTTCTTGCCAGTATATTGATCGTTGTATATCTTAAAGCATGAGATAGATACAGTTGGAGATACAAAGTTAGGTAGAACACAAATTTATAAAGTGTTACCTGTTATTCTGATGTGATATGTAAGTGGTAGTTAGGAAGGAGGGACACCATAATTCTGTTTCCAGTTTCTAGGGGGAAAATCTTGTGTGGTGTTTATGAATTTCTAGTCAGGTACAGAGATCAGGTACTTTTACTCTGGAAGCTGTGCAGTTAAATGACCGTGACTTGATTCTGCTGTAATGTGGTGTCTCTTGAGTAGTCTTGCAGCTGCGTTAGTTAGAAATTCAGTGATAGCTATTTTCTTTCAAAAGTGGTAACTTGATGGCTTGGCTAATAATATCAAACAACACGAGCCCCCAAATCCATAGAATATAAACGCAGTGTCTTCTTCAGTCTCCCTGCCCACAGCACCTTTTCTTCCTTTTCGTATGCTACTTTAAAAGATATTTTGTGGAGATAGTATTTTGAGTAGCTGTTTTTCTCAGGACAGAATGTAGGCTTTTGTATCATTCTAATACTTAAGTGATGTGTTCTCACTAGGACCGTGCTTTTTGCAAAAGAAAGTGATTGTAGATTGAAACTATTAACACGGGGAAAATAGGAAATGGTTATACTGTAAAAATAACTGTGAAAATGTCTCAGATTGTTCAGAGAGGGAACAGCCTTCCAAGAAGTGATCACATTCTCACGCTCTGCTTTAAACACATTCTTTATCTTTAAAAGGAAGCAGAAGAGAATCAGTCAGTAAATCAAATGTAATCGAGGTCTAGTCTGCAAAACTGTATCATTCTGAAATAAGGCATTAGGTGAACAAGAACTGCCAGTGCCCAGACCTCTTGTGCTCTGAGAAAAGTGCATACATCTTTGGTCAGATAATATCTTTCTTGCAGCTCTTGATGGTTTTTCTTCATTGTGTGAAGATAGCAATTATGGTTACTATCTATTAGAAAACAGACTGTACTTTTCTACTGCAGTGAATAAGGATGTTGTGTTGTTTTGTTTTTTTTTTAATCTGCTTGTTTAGAGAAGGAAATTGGATTTCTTACCCCAAAACCTCCACCTTCATTTACTTCTTGTTGGCAAAATAAAACCCATACAACTGTTGAAAGACTG